ATATAAAATGACAAAACCAAGGCTTGCTTTTTGGATACACACACACACTTTCAAGCAGTGGATAGTGGAATCCATTGATAAGGAATCTGTGGATATGGATGGCTGATTGTAATATACCATCCAAAAAGCTCAAAGGATGGATATTACCTAATATATCTTTACTTATTCCCCAGATCTGTTCCTTTTTATTTCTTTCACTTGAAAGCTTCATTCTTGTTCTCCATTCATGTCAGATGACGTCTTACCTGTATTTTGAACAATAAGGTCAAAAATGCTGCCATAGTAATTTTGTCTCCACACTGCCCTCTAGAGCATTGTAAAGTGGGTAAGCAAGCATAGGATTGAAGCCTCAATCTCAGTTGTTACGTGTATGATTCAGATATTATGAGATGACAAATGCCAAAAGATTAACATGTTTCTCTTCAGTCTTCCACAGCACTAGCCAGATCTCATCATGAAACACAGCCATGCAGAAACTCAGAATCAGAATCTCCAAGTCAATGCAGAACTTAGAAAGGTTTCCTTTCCTTTCCTTTCCTTTTTTTTTTTGTTTTATTTTGGACAACTCTCAGAATCCCCAAGCGAGCATGGTCACTCTTCCAAGTCCTGCTTCAGTGTTTAATAAATGTTTACTGAAATGTCTTCCAACAAACGCACAACAATGTCAAGTGAGAAATTCAACCTGTCCCACATCAGCCACAAAAACCTCATAACTTTCTGTCACCAAGAGCCATTACAAATCTTTACAACTTTCCTTCTGATTTCCTGAAACTGTCTACTATTTGCTAGATTTTACAGGTCTCAGATGACAGAGTTGGCACCTAAGTTGGTGGTCATGTGGTATTTGGCAAGAGGGAGCAGATGGCCAAGGAGGCACCTGAGGAAGAACTGTGCCTCTTGGGAGCTAAAGAAATCTGTCAAACTACAGGTGGGAGATAGAGCCAGTGATAAATGTTGGAGCACAGGGCAATGCTTGGCACTTCTGTTGTCTAAACAAGCTCATCAAAGATGAAAAACTCACTTGTACAACATTTTGTTACTCTTCTTGTTTTGTTGTCAGTCTGGGGTGTCAGTTTTATAAATTGGATGAAGGATCTGCCTTCTATAGACAGAAATGGTCCATCCATGTAAGATGAGTCTGCCTGATTTTCTGATATTCTCCCTCCACATTGTTTGATGCCTCACCCTTATTCAATAGAGACCATCATGCACAAATTTTAGGGAATTGAAGGGATTGTCATGGAGAGGAAGGGGCAGGAAAGCTCCATTCTGTCAGCCTAGTTGTGCACATCTAAAGATGGGTCTAGCCCCATATGTTTAGAAGTACTAAGAAAGGGAGACAGAGGATATGAAAATTTAAAAGGAAAAAGAAATTGATGCCTCATACTGATGCTCAATAAGAGTAATGTATCAGCTAGATTTGTAATGGGTTGATGGCTACAACCCAAAGTGTCTTCACCACTAGTTGGGAGGGTGTCCTGATGCTGTGCACCATGCAAATGGGCTTTGGTGTCAGGATGGCATTGGGGTGAGGTTGGGGTGACCAGCATGTGGCTGCCTCACCCCAATTCCACCCCAAGGCTGGCCCTTTAGGCCAGTCTGCAATGCCTCCTTATGGGGAACTGTTTAGGGAACTGGGTATGTTTGGCTTGGAGAAGAGAAGATTGACAAGTGACTTCAAATCACTCCCAACATATGGCAACCATAAGATTTCACAAGGTTTTCAGGTACTGACAGTGTGTAACTCACCCAAAGTGACCCAGCGGGGTTCCATGGCTGAGTGAGGAATCAAATTCTGGTCTCCTGAGTCATCTGAAATTCATTCCTGTTTTTAAATATCTGAAGGGATGTTGCATAGAAGATAGAACAAGCTTATTTCTGCTACTCCAGAGACTAGAACATAAATCAACTGCTTCAGATTTAAGAAAAGAAATTCTATCTAACCATTAAGAACTTCTTGACTGTAAGAGCTGTTTGACAGTGAAACAGATTGCCTCATGCCCCAATCCAACCCTCCCAACCCTTTAAAACAGGATTAAACTAGAAAAGGATTAAAATGCAATAATGCAATAAAACAATTTATCAATAAAAAATCAGGCACAATAAGGACAGGATAAAAATGGAAGCTGAAATCTCATCTCCCTAGGGCAGATGTTATTCTGGGAAGGCCTGCCAGAAGAGATCCATCTTCACTGCCTTTTTAAAGGCAGTAAGCATAGTAATTAGATGGATCTCATCTGGCAGTTCATTCCATAGCCTGGGAATAACTACAGCTCTCACTGACTTGGGCTTCAGTCAAGCTTTTAATTGTTAATTTTGAGTTTATCACAATTATTATCAATGTTTTCTTGTGTTTGGTTATTTAAAATGGTCTTGTATACTTCCTTGGAGGAATAGGTTGACCATCAAGCATTATCTAAATCAGGGGTGAGCAACAGTAGCCCTTCAGATGTTTTGCTCTCCTATTCCAATCAACCCCACTTGCCACAGCCAGTGGTGAGGAGCCATGGGAGTTGCAATCTTAAAAAGATCCAGAGGACTACATTTGCCCACTTGTCCATCCCTGTTTTGAATAAATAATTAAAATAAAAACTTTTCCGTGAAATGATACGCTTTCTAAAAATCAAAACACTATGGGCATATTACATATAATGATCATTGAAACACAGAATCATAAAGTTGGAAGGGACTGTAAGAGTCAAGAAGTCTAACCCTCTGCAGGAATACCCAACTAAACCACTCTGCGAGATGCCCATCCAACCTCTGTTTAAAAAACTCCAAAGAAGGGACTGTAAGAGTCAAGAAGTCTAACCCTCTGCAGGAATACCCAACTAAACCACTCTGAGAGATGCCCATCCAACCTCTGTTTAAAAAACTCCAAAGAAGGAACGTCCACCACCCTCCAAGGCCTCTTTCATCAGGTGAATGGTGAGTCCAATGTTTAGGGCATCCTTCTTCATGTATACCTCCCTCTGCAATGACATCCTCCCAGCACAGCGTGCAGACACACTGTACCTAAAGGGCACGGAAGAGCCATGGGGCTGGCTCTTAGAGTGACCTTTTGCCACCCCTAAAAGGAGTGATATTTTGCTGTTCTTTTAGGGGTGGCAAAAGGAAGGATCGGGGCCACAGTGTGGGGTTGCCATGGCCCTGATCCACCACTAGCAGATTTTGTCTGTTTTAAATGCTGTAACCTGCCTCGATTGTTGTGCAGAGGGGCAGGCTATAAATAAATATTATTATTATTATTATTATTATTATTATTATTATTATTATTATTATTATTATTACCCCTCCCACACACACCTGCTTGCTGTCCCTGAGTGAAGACTTTGCCTTCCTTGGCAGAAAGCCCACCCCTGAAAAACAACACCAACTCTGTTGGGCCAGTTTCCCACCACGGTTAAAGTGTGCCAAAAGCACAGGGATCCCTGAGAAGGGAGAGAGCCATGTCACTACAGCCCAACATGGTGACACACCTCTGCTCCTCACACTTACCCCTACCACAGACCACAACGTGGCCTTCCAGGAAGTCTGGGGTTGTTTCTTTTTTAAACTAATTACTTAAAGCTAATATTAAAGACAGCCAAAATAGTTTGTTACCATTGTGTGCCTTCAAGTCATTTCCAACTTATGGTGACCCTAAGGTGAACCTATCACAAGTTTTTCTGAGACTGAGAGTTTGTGACTTAGCCAAGGTCACCATGGGTTTCCATGACCAAGGGGGGAATCAAACCCTAGCCTCCAGAGCTGTAGCCCAGCATTCAGACCACTACACCACACTGGCTCTCTTGTTATCATTACAGTTTTAGTAATGTAATTTAATTTAAACATTAACACTCTGTTTAATTTAAAAGGTAATGCTCTTCTCCCATCCACATTTACATTACCCCAATACCCACAGCAAAGCAATAGCACAACCCAGTCCTTCCTCCTCCAGCACTGAGTAAACCCACACTCCGTCACTATAAAATTGACTAAAATGTTGTAGTTAAAATTGCAACAGAGAGCAGTTATACCTTTCTAACTGACTAGTTATTTAGAATTATTTCCAAGATCTGTTTCATTATTATACTCTGATGAAGATTGCTATTAAATCACATGCAATACTAATTCACTACTTTTTCATACGAGCTCAAGAGTATGCATCTCCCACCCTACCCCTTTTCTTCCTCACTTGCAGAGCAACACATCTGTTCCTTGTTTCTTGCTAGGCCAAATGTCCTGAACTTACAAGTGGGTCCTATTGGGGAAATTTTATGATTTAAGCATGGTGGTCCTTGAGCAGTATTTCTAAACCTATATCTCATTAGCCACAGGCTAACTCAGCCTATGAGTTAGAAAATACTGTCTTAAAAAGACAAGATTCATTCATTTATTTATTTAATATGTCACTTTTCTCCAGAGTTGAACCCAAGGTGGCTCACAGATAAAAATTGGTAAAAACGTATCAATACCATTTTTAAAACAATTAAAATCGTTTCATTTAAAACATAGAAAATTACATTTTAAAAATTACAAAAGTTAAAAACATATACCCAGTACACACCCCAATAAGAAGCCTCCCTAAGAGTTATTACTTATTAGAAGCCTGCTTGAATAAAAATGTCTTTGCTTTCCAGTGAAAGGCAAGCTGGGAGGGACCCAGCCTTGTCTCATGTAGAAGCGACTTCCAGAGGGTGGGAGCAGCCACTTCTTTCTGTATCCTCACCAAGCAAGCCTATGATGGTGGCAGGGCTGAAAGAAAGGCTTCTCCCAGAGGCATCACTAGGGGGTGCAGGGAGGTACTGACCACACTGGGTGACACCGCAGAGGGGAGAGGTACATTCCATGGGGCAGTATACCCAAAGGGACTGCCGCAGCTACTGGTTGAGTAAGAAACAACATCATCCCTTTTTCCTGCTCACCCAGCAGCTGTACTGGACCCCAGATGGGCCATCTGAAGGCCACAGCACTGCCCCTTGTGCCTTCAGAGTCCAGTGAGGCTGGTGAGAGACCAGCCACAAAGGACTCTGCAAGCCATTGCTGGTGGTGGGCAAGTGACACCAACTGCAGCAGTGTCACTGCCTTCTTCTGATAATCTTAAAGTTCTGGCAGGTTCATATAGGGAGAGATGGTCTTTCAAATTTATTTTGCTGAAACAAAATAAAATAGGGAGATACAGGGCCTTTACAGACTGCCAGAAATAATGTAGCTTGAGGCCACTTTAACTGTCCTGGCTCAGTGCTAAGGAATCATGGGAAGTGTAGTTTATTGTGGCACCAGAGTGCTCTGACAGAGAAGGCCCAATGTCCCATAAAAAAAATACAATTTTCAAATGATTCCCTAGCACTGAGCCAGGACAGTTAAAGTGGCCTCAAGTTGCATTATTTCTGGCAGTCGGTAAAGGACCACAGTCTTTCAGATTTATTTTGTTTCATTATTATTATTATTATTATTATTACATTATTTTGAGCTCTTTTCTTTGTTTATTAAACTTGTGGGAAACCTATAGCCAAACTTGAAAATGAGGCACTCAGTGTTGATCACATGGTTGAGCACCTCATTGTGAATTCAGAGGGAGCAACCCATACCAGGGGTGGTGGCACAGTGTGTGTAGGCAGCCACCTGGTGCTCCTCTGGATTGCTCCAGATTTTCCTCCAAATCTGGAGCAGAAGGTAAATCTGGTTAAAGGGAGGGAGGGCATTGTAAAGACAGACTACTATTAATTTGGGGTTTTGGCCCAGCATTGGACGTTATCACACGGGGTCTAAAGCAGACAGAATCCACACTAAATCCCATCCTATTGCGCTTTATTTTTCCGTGTGTTCACACAACGTCACACAGAACCCCATCACAACCCCATCCCAATGCGGCATCATTCCCGTTCTTTTGAATGCCGGTTTCTTAGGGAATTGCAATTGCGCGATCGGAATGATAGCGCAATCATTGCGCTTTCGCCGTATGTCTGATCACCAAATACGTATATGCAAGAACATTCTTGCTGGGTTCTGTGTGGGATCCTCTCACTTGTGTGTGAACAGCAAATACGGTTCCTGGGGGGCGCTTCAT